ATATGTAAGCTATTAGAATGTTGCCTGACATAGAATAAAAACTCATTGACATTACCTATTATGATGATTACTGTGCAGCAAAATAGGTACCTTATAAAATACTTTAAAATTATAAATGTAAGATTAAGATAGGCGGTAATCCCAGTACTTTGGGGGGCCGAGACAGGTGTATCACTTGAGGCCAAGAGTTCAAGACCTGCCTGGCCAACATGGTGAAACCCCATCTTTACCAAAAAATACAAAAAAAATTAGCCGGGCATGGTGGCGTGTGCCTGTATCCCAGCTACTCGGGAGACTGAGGCAGGAGAATCGCTTGAACCCAGGAGGTGGGTTCAAGTGAGCCAAGATCGCACCACTGCACTCCAGCCTGTGTGATAGAGCAAGACCCTGTCTCAAAACAAACAAACACACAAAAAACAAAAAAAGCACGAATGAACGAACAAAAAGAGATTAATGTTACAGAGGTTCTGTTATGTCCCTTCACCCTCATGAATTGTCTTGTGATGTCTGGGGTGTATACACCCCCACTTTGGAAACTACTGGCTTAAGCAATGATAGGAACATACTATGTCCCCGGGTATTTTGATTTTTGAGATGCTCTGTAAAGCTTGGAGGACTGTGGGTGGGCGGATTCTTCCATGCTTGGATTATGTACACTCTCATTTCTGCACAAACCTCTTGGCTTCTCTGCTTGTAAACAGTAATCAAATAGGGTTGAATGTGGGGCCGGGAGTCGCAGGCTCCTTGCCAGTCCTACCCAGTCATTCCTAAGTATGGAGGCTGCATGGGCTCTGCCTCTTGCCTTGCATCTGCCACCCTGTGCTTAAGCAACTCCCACAAAGCTTAACTCCTGGAGACAGTGGCCGGTGGGGACAGCTGCATGTCAGTCTGTGCTGTGAAACCAGCCATCCTTGCAACCAAATGTGACAGCTGCAGATTAAAGCAGAATTACCTAAAGATAGGTTTGTAGGACACACACTGGCTGAGTCCCCTGCTGCCAGCAGCTGCTTTTCTTGACATGGGGCCAACCCAGAAACTTTGCGGGATACCCTCAGATGCTCCAGCAGCTCTAGAGAGGTGGTGATGGCCCTGAAACTGCTGAGAGCAGCTGGTTTCATCAGGGATGGCTGAACGTCTGGATCAACAGTGAAACCTCTGACTCTTTGCCAGGGAGCGGGCTGGTGGGCGCTGCGTCGATAGCCGTGACTAGTAAACCCAGCGGGAACCAGGTCTAATTACAGTAGAGCTACAGAAATTGCCCCCACATTCCAGCTGCTTTAAGTCAGATAATTTTAGGGTTGAGAAAGACCCTGGAGATCACCTAATGGATCCCAAACCTAGTTGCTTACAGCATCAATGAGAAGCCTTAAAATTCTTATAGTGAATTAGCTCAGTCATATAAAACAGTGGAGGGGCTGAGTCACCACATCATCCTGTGTTCCACTTAGCTGAAGAAATGGAGGCCGGGCGCAGTGGCTCCCGCCTGTAATCCCAGCCCTTCGGGAGGCTGAGACAGGCGAATCACTTGAGGTCAGGAGTTCAGGACCAGCCTGGCCAACATGGTAAGATCCCATCTCTACTAAAAATACAAAAATTAGCGGGGCCTGGTGGTATGTAATCCCAGCTATTCAGGAGACTGAGGCAGGAGAATCACTTGAACCTGGGGGGCAGAGGTTGCAGTCAGCCGAAATGGCACCCCTGAACTCCAGTCTGGGTGACAGAGTGAGACCCCATCTCAAAAAAAAAAAAAAAAAAAGTTTCCCAAGCATTCCCAGTGACCCAGTGATGAGCCAGGATGGTGAATAACCGCTCTCACAGGGGCTTGCCTGAGTGGACTGAGCACCTGTGTTGAAGTTAAAAAACCTGACATCCCATCCTGATGGTGCCACCTCCCACCTGTATGACACCTGGCAAGGGGCATATTCCCCAAAACCTCAATTTCTTCACTGTAAAAAGGGGATAAGGACAATAAACTACCTTTCGAGCTTATGCATGTATATGAAGCTCTAAAACACTACACAGACATAGGACTTAAGGGCTCATGCCAAGGGCTCATGCAGCCTAGGGTTGGTCACCTCCAGTGACAGGAGGCTCATCACTTTCAGAGACAGCACCCCCCTCCTTTTTTTTTTGAAAGCTCTGATGGACAAAAAGTCCTTCCTTATTCTGAGTAGAAATCTGTTCTCTCTCATTTTCTCCTAATGGATTTAATTCCACCCCTCAGGGAACCACAGAATAAACTTAATCCTTAATTTGCAGACCAGTCTTTTTGAATAATTGAAGACAATGTAGCCTTTTGGCTTTCCTTCCCTACCTCAATTTTAGGCTTCTCCACACACTGTACTGAGAAAGTCCCTTTATGAATAAGCAATATTCCCAGAAATTACCATAGGCATGGCTCCATTTCAGCAAACTAGAGAGGCTGTGTTCCTGGATTAGTGATTCAGGAAAATCCATTTAGCATCTAGTTAATTAAATCCCCCAGTCACATCAAATCAAATTGTTAAAGTAATCACCCGTGCTCTGGGATCTACTTATTAAAGTATTTGCTTAGTAAATGTATAACATCTATGCAACCCTTTTATGTGCCAGGCACTGCTCAGTGATTTGCATACACTCAGTTCTTATGATAAACCCTGAAAGGTAACCACTGCTATTATTTCCATTTTACAAATGAGGAAACTGAGGCTCAGAGAGGTTCAGAAGGTGCCCAAGATGATGCAGCCAGTAAGTGACATAGTGGGGTTTGGACTCAGGTCTGGCTGACTCTAAAGCCCACATGGGCCTGGCATGGTGGCTCATGCCTGTAATCCTAGGCATGAGGGCCAAGGTGGGAGGATCACTTGAGCTTAGGAGGTTGAGGCTGCAGTGAGCCATGATCATGCCAGCCTGGGTGACAGAGTGAGACCCTGTCAAAAAAACAAGGCCGGGTGTAGTGGCTCGCACCTGTAATCCCAGCACTTTGGGAGGCTGAGGCAGGAGGATGGGTTGAGCCCAGGAGTTTGAGATCAGCCTGGGCAACATGGTGAAACCCCATCTCTACAAAAAAATACAAAAACTTAGCCAGGGGTGGTGGTGTGTGACTTTGGTCCCAGCTACTCAGGAGGCTAAGGTGGGAGGACTGCCTGAGCCCAGGAGGTAGAGGCTGCAGTGAGCCAAGATCACAACACTGCACTCTAGTCTGGGTGACAGAGCAAGACCCTGTCTCAAAAACAAAACACAGTAAAGCCCATGTGCTCAGGACTGTGGCAATAGCCTCCTGAGGTAGAAATTCTAAAACAAATGATCCTAGAATTCCAAAATACTCTCTTAACTGGAACTAAATCAAACTATTTCATTTGAAATTATTTGATAAGAAGCAGCTGGCCATTCTACTTTCAAGAATAGGGTTATTTTGTTGTTTTTTTTTTTTAGATGGAGTCTCACTTTGTCACCCAGGCTGGAGTGCAGTGGTGCAATCTCAGCTCACTGCAACCTCCGCCTCCTGAGTTATAGCAATTCTCCTGCCTCAGGCTCTTGAGTAGCTGGGATTACAGGCGCCCACCACCACGCCCAGCTAATTTTTGTATTTTTAGTAGAGACAGGGTTTCACCATATTGGCCAGGCTGGTCTTGTACTCCTGACACCCAAGTGATTCGCCCACTTTGGCCTCCCAAAGTGCTGGGTTTACAGGTGTGAGCCACCATGCCCAGCTGTTTTGTTTTGTTAAGAAAAATGTACATAACATGGAAATGCACAGATCTGAAATGTACAGATTTGGTGAGTTCCGGCAAACACAGAAATCTGTCTTAAATTCCAATCAAGATAAAATAGGTTCATCACTACAGAAAATTTTCTCACGCCCTGCCTAGCCAGTTCCCAGCCCTGGAGGTGACTGCCCACTGTTCTATTTCTGATACGAAGATTGATTTTTGCCTATCCTTGGCATGTCATGGGTGGACTCATGTAGCGCATACTCTTTTGTGCCTGGCTTCTTTTGCTCAACATGTTTTGAGCCTCAGTCTCCTTGTGTGTGCATCAGCTGTTCCTCTTTTTCATGGCTGAGTACTACTCCATTATATGAATATACATTTTCTCCATTCCTCTTATAACAGGTTTTAACACTGATACATCACATAGATGTAATAATATGTAAATCACTCATTTATTCATTAGGCAAATGTCTTTCCAGAGCTTTCTCTATGCAAGGTACTATTGGAGGTGCTAGGAGACTTTGGTGAAAAAAAAACGAAGCCCCTGCTCTCACAGGGCTTTTCTCTATAGCAGGAGAGAAAAACAATATAGAGGAAATTGAAGGAATGAACAAAGCAGTAGTGGGAAGTGCTATGAACAATAAATCTGAGTGAAGGTGCCAGAGTGGCTTGTAAGGACGTTGGGTTTTCCTTTTTTTTTTTTGAGACAGGGTCTCACTGTCACCCAAGTTGGAGTGCAGTGGTGTAGTCTCAGCATTGCAGCCTCAACCTCCTACCTCAGCCTCCTAACTGGGACTGCAGGCACCACGCCCAGCTAATTGTTATTTTTGTAAAGACAGGGTCTATGTTGCCCAGGCTGGTCTCAGGTCTTCTTTAGAAGTCACGCAGGCCAACGTGAGGGACCTGGAAGAGAACTGGGGTCATACAAACAGTGGTACTTGAACAGTTTCACAGCTTATGAAACTCCCTGGCATTGACTCATTCACCATTATTACCCTCTCTTCATTTTTTTAGATGAGAAAACTAAGGCATAGAAAGATTAGCAACTTGTCCCAGGACAAGTGTCAAGTCCAGGTCTTGAACCCAGGCAACATAGTGCTGTGGTTACCATATATGCTTTGGAATCAGACAGGGCCAAGATCGAAGTCCTCTTTCACCTGGATGTCCTTGGGCATGTCACACTCTGAGTCTCCGTTTTCTCATGCATCACATGAAGGGGATACAGTCTAACTCACAGGGTTGTTAAAACTGAAAGATAATCTTAGGTAAATAATTTAGCGCGCTGTCCACCGCCGCTGCCTGAGCCGACTCCGCGCCGACCGCCGCCGCCGTCCAACTCTTGGTCCAGAGCCCGGACGTGGTCTGTGGCCCCGAGGCCATCGAGGCTCAGTACGAGTACCAGACGACGCGCGTCAGCAGCGAGGGCGGCGTCCTCAAGGTGCACCTCAAGTCCACGAGCTTCACCTTCCGGACCACCTGGCCGGCTGGTGCCCAGGCTAGGGGTCATGCTTGTCGGCTGAGGTGGGAACAACGGCTCGACGCTCACCGCCGCGGTGCTGGCCAACCTACTGCGTCTGTCCTGGCCCACACGCAGGGGTCGCAAGGAGGCCAACTACTACGGTTCGCTGTCTCAGGCGGGCACCGTGAGCCCGGGCCTGGACGCCAAGGGTCAGGAGGTGTTCGCGCCCTTCCGCGGCTGCTGCCCATGGTGGCACCCAACGACCTCGTGTTCGATGGCTGGGACATCTCGTCGCTGAACCTGGCAAAGGCGATGCGGCTCGCGAAGGTCCGCACTGGGGACTGCAGAAGCAACCGTGGCCGCACGTGGAAGCCCTGCAGCCCCGGCCTTCGGTATACATCCCAGAGTTCATCGCGGCCAACCGGAGCGCGCGCGCCGGACCGCCTCATCCCGGGCACGCGCGTGCAGCGGCTGGGGCAGATGCGCAGAGACATTCGAGACTTCCGGTCTAGCTCAGGGCTGGACAAAGTCATCGCGCTGTGAAACGGCGAACACAGAGTGCTTCTTTCTGTCAAGTGGTCCCAGGTCTCAACGACACGGCCGAGAACCTGCTGCGCACCATCGAGTTTGGTCTGGAGGTGTCGCCCTCCACGCTCTTTGCCGTGGCCAGCATCCTGGAGGGCTGTGCCTTCCTCAGTGGGTCCCCACAGAAAACCCTGGTGCCCGGAGCCCTTAAGCTCGCGTGGCAGCGCCGGGCTACGTGGGCGAAGATGACTTCAAGTCAGGCCAGACCAAAGTCAAGTCCGTGCTCGTGGACTTCCTCATCGGCTCCGGCCTCAAGACCAAGTCGACTGTGAATTATAACCACCTGCGGAATAAAGACCAGCAGAACCTGTCGGCACCATCGCGGTTCCCTCTGAGGAGGTGTCCAAGAGCAACGTGGTGGACGACATGGTGCAAAGACACCCAGTGCTCTACGCGCCCAGCTAGGAGCCTGACCACTGCGTGGCCATCAAGTACATGCCGTATGCGGGCGACCCCAAGCGTGCGCTGGATGAGTCTACCTTGGAGCTGATACTGGGCGGAACCAACACGCTGTTGCTGCACAACAAGCGAGGACTTGCTGCTGGCCGCCCCTGTCATGCTGGACCTGGCGCTGCTGACCGAGCCCTGCCACTGCGTGAGCTTCTGCACTGATGACAACATCGAGCCACAGACCTTCCACCCCATGCTGTCCCTGCTTAGCTTCCTCTTCAAGGCGCCGCTGGTGCTCCCGGGCAGCCGGGTGGTCAATGCACTTTTCCGCCAGTGCAGCTGCATTGAGAACAACGTCAGGGCCTGTGTGGGGCTCCCGCCACAGAACCACGTGGTCCAGGAGCACACGATGGAACTCCCGGTGCCTGGCCTCAAGCGAGTCGGACCCGTGGCTGCCACCTGCCCTGTGTCAAACAAGAAAGGACCGGGACCCGCTGCCACCAATGGCTGCACCGGTGATACCAATGGACACCCACAAGTGGAGGAACCCCAGATGCACACCACCTGAGGCCCTGGTCACACAACTTCCCGGCCTTTCCCCGCCTGCACCCCAGGACCCAACCTTTCCAGGTGCCCACAAAAACAATAAAGCCGGTGCCACTCTCAAAAAAAAAAAAAAAAAAAAAAAAAAAATTTAGCTCTTCGCGGTTGGGTGCGGCGGCTCACGCCTGTAATCCCAGCACTTTGGGAGGCCAAGGCAGGCAGATCACTTGAGGTCAGCAGTTCGAGACCAGCCTGGCCAAAATGATGAAACCCCGTCTCTACTAAAAATACAAAAATTATCCGGGCATGGTGGCCCATGCCTGTAATCCCAGCTACTTAGGAGGCAGAGGCAGGAGAATCCCTTGAACTCCGGAGGTGGAGGTTGCAGTGAGCCGAGATCATGCCACTGCACTCCAGCCTGGGCAACAGAGCAAGACTCTGTCTCAAAAAAAAAAAAAAAAAAAAATATTTGTGCTCATGTTCATTAATTCATGCAACACATGTGAATTTATCATCTACCACTAGGTAGGCAGGATACGATGGGGAATAAGCAGACGCAGCCCCATCTCATGCAGCTAATAGCCTGTCATTAGAATAAATAAATTTGATAAAGAATGTAGATAAAGCACATGGAATGCCAACTTAACATAGTCTTGGGGAAGTCAGGGAAGGCTTCCTGGAGGAAGGGATGTTTAATATGAAAGAGTTTATCCAGTGAGGGAAATGTGAAGGTAGGAGAGGCTTCTTTGTAGTCACTTTTGGGTGTGATTTTAGTTTTATAAATCAGATACACTTGCATGAGAATTGGAAGGCACGTACATGGTGCCATGAATAGTATATCATTGCTGGTTTTACTGGAACATGTTTCATTGTCTGGGTACCAGCTTCTTGGGTATGAGAGGCAGGATGAGGCTCATCTGTTTTTTGTTGGATTGGATCTCTCAGGTGTGGTGTGGCTCTAAATCTAATACTCAGAGTTTTAACAGCTGAAGAGGTGTGTTCCTGAAGCCAGCAGCTTCAGCAGTCCTGCCTTCCTAGTGGTTGCAGCGTCCCTGGTAGGCTGGTCCTGGGGCCCGGTCTAGAGCCCGCTGCTCCAGCCCTTCCAGTGATATTTGTAAATTCTTTTTTTTTTTTGGAAATGGAGTCTCACTCTGCCACCCAGGCTGCAGTGCAGTGGCGCAATCTCAGGTCACTGCAATGTCTGCCTCCTCGATTCAAGAGATTCTCCTGCCTCAGCCTCCTGAGTAGTTGGGACTACAGGTGTCCGCACCACGCCCTGCTAAATTTTTTGTATTTTTAGTAGAGATGGGGTTTCCATGTTGACTAGCGTGGTCTGGAACTCCTGGCCTCAAGTGATCCGCTGGCCTTGGCCTCCCAAAGTGCTGGGATTACAGGCATAAGCCACCATGCCCACCTGTTTGTAAATTCTTAATTTCCTATTTGAAATCCCTTTCTGCTTAAAATAATTGGAGTGGTTTCTATTTCCTGCGACTGACTCTTCCTTATACTACTGAAGTACAAGTAGATTCATTTATTTAGTTGTTATTTTCTGAGCACCTAGAATGTACCAGGTACTAGTTTTTGGCTCTGAAAATATAACAATGAACAAGGCCAAGGTCCTGCACCGTTGTGTTATTATCATGGCAGTTATATTCTCTATCAGAGCTATCCAATACGAATAGAATGTGAGTTACATGTGTGTTTTAAACATTGTAGTATCTGGCCGGGTGCGGTGGCTCATGCCTGTAATCCCAGCACTTTGGGAGGCTGAGGTGGGCAAATCACCTGAGGTCAGGAGTTCGAGACCGGCCTGGCCAAATGGTGAAACCCTGTCTCTACTAAAAATACAAAAATTAGCCGAGCATGGTGGCAGGTGCCTGTAATCCCAGTTACTCAGGAGGCTGAGGCAGAAGAATTTCTTGAACCCAGGAGGCAGAGGTTGCAGTGAGCCGAGATCACGCCACTGCAGTCCAGCCTGGGCAACAGAGTGAGACTCTGTCTCAAAAAAAAAAAAAAAAAAAAAAAAAATTAGTGTCCATATTAAAAGAATAAGTGAAATTAACCTAACACATTCAGAATATTACCATTGCAACATGTACTTAATATAAATATTGATTAATGAGACGTTTTGTGTACTTTTTTCATGTTAAGTCTTGGAAATTTAGTGTTTAGTTTTTACTTATAGTACATCTTGATTCAATGCAAAATTTTTATTGGAAATACTTCATCTGTATTACATTTCATTACATTTATGGTTGAAAAAGTAGATTCATCACTAAGAGGTTCCAGATATACTTAAATACTTTCCACTAGCCAAAAAAAGTACCAAAAACAATTTTTCCTTAATATTTGCATCCATATTGACAAAACTTGTTCATCCTTTCTAGAAGGATTTGACTTTGGAGCAAAAGTTTATCAGTTTCAAAACTGTATCTGTCCAAGTTAAGTAAATTAACCAACTCTTGAGTCAAATCTGAAGCATACTACATAATTGAAAAATAACTCAAAATTTATCAATGATAATCATGTCCTTCACATTTTTTTCTGTCTTTGCAGCTTAACTTACATAACATGTTTTAATTAAATGAAAATAACTTGCCTATTAATTTCATTTAGAAAAAAGTATAAAATCATTGTTATTGATTTGTATTTTAAGTTTCAGTTTCGCCGGGTGTGGTGGCTCACTCCTATAATCCCAGCACTTTGGGAGGCCAAGGCGAGCAGATTACCTGAGGTCGGGAGTTTGAGACCAGCCTGACCAACATGGAGAAACCCCGTCTCTACTAAAAATACAAAATTAGCCGGGCATGGTAGCACATGCCTGGAATCCCAGCTACTTGGTAGGCTGAGGCAGGAGAATCGCTTGAACCTGGGAGGCGGAGGTTGCGGTGAGCTGAGATGGAGCCATTGTACTCCAGCCTGGGCAACAAGAGCGAAACTCTGTCTCAGAAAAAAAAAAAAAAGAAAAGTTTCAGTTCCAACATTCATTAAATGTCTAGCTATGTAACAAATAAACTTTTCCTTACCTTGGAGTTTCAAGTTTAGTTCATCCATGTGCAGTGTAATTTTTTCTTTTTTCTTTTTTTTTGAGATGGGGTCTTGCTCTGTCACCCAGGCGGCAGTGCAGTGGAACGATCTGGGCTCATTGAACTCTCCACCTCCCAGGCTCAAGTGATCCTCCCATCTCAGCCTCCTGAGGAGCTGGGATTACAGGCATGTGCCACCACACCTAGCTAATTTTTTGTATTTTTGGTAGAAACAGGGTTTCACTATGTTGTCCCGGCTGGTCTCAAACTCCTGAGCTCCAGCCATCTGCCTCCCTCAGCCTCCCAAAATGTTGGAATTATTGGCATGAGCCACTGCACCCGGCCAGATATGCAGTGTAATTTTGATGAGAAAACATAAATCATGCTGCCATTTTTTGTCTTTGATTATGGGATAATTTGCCAAGCATTCCCTTTGTTTAAAGAAAATCTTGAATTGGAGTTAAAAATACAGTAACCCTTTGTAAAGCTCTTCTGTGACTCAAAGAGCATTGACAAAGACCACAAGATCATTAAATCTGTCATCTTTTATTTCTTTCAACTGTTCCTTAAACTGAAGATGATTCATAGCATTTGAATGAATACAATGAACAATGTTAATCTATGATGCTTTTCACAGAGTTGGCTGCAGAAAACTAAGCACGACTATTTTCAAAATATATCACCTAATGGGATAAGCAATAAGGAAAATGTTAGTCTCTTATTTGAAAATTCTAATACATCCAAATTTTTGATTCAGCATAATGGAACTACCATTTGTGGTGAAAGAGACTAATTTTTTTCTTGTCTGGCTGGAATTCTTCTTTGACAGTTATGAAAGATTTAAAAATATCCATGCCGTGTGTTAGTTTCTTTTAGGCTATGAATTGACATTTCTTTATAAATTTGAAGTCCTTTGAGACAAAATATAACCAAAGTATTAATTGCGCAGTGTATATTATATCAAATGACTCATCTGAAGCTAAAGTACTTGTGATTTTTCGAGATTATTGATTGGTCTTTGCTATTGTTAGAAAAGTCTTCATATTTTATGGACAATTATTTGAGGGCTCAATTGAAGAGCTTTCTCTTCTTGTGAAGTATCTTTTTAAATCCTTTCCTCAGAATTTTCTAACAATATTTTCATTGTCAAAAAATAATTTATTTTACCATTTTTTCACCTAAAAGTGTTTTTCAACTGAGTACTGTGGCACGTGCCTGTCGTCCCAGCTACTTGAGAGATTGAGATGGGGAGGATCACTTGAGCCTAGAACTTCGAGTCCAGCCTGGGCAACATAGTGAGACCCCCTCTCTAATAAGTAAATAAATATATTTTAAAGTGTTTTTCTTTTGTGAAAGAATTCCAGTCTTTTTATAGCTGGCCAAGTTTATAAGCACAGATCCTGTTTAGATTTGTTTAGCAATTATTTTAAAATTAAACATTATTGATGGCCTGGCACAGTGGCTCCCTCCCCTAATCCCAGCACTTTGGGAAGTTGAGGCGGGCAGATACCTTGACTCAGGAGTTTGAGACCAGCCTGGGCAATGTGGCGAGACTTCATGTCTAAAAAAAAAAAAGAAAGGAAAGAAAAAAAAAATAGCTGGATATGTTGGCACATGCCTATACTTCCAGCTATTATACTTGAGGCTGAGTTGGGAGGATCACCTGAGCCCCTATAGGAAGAGGCTGCTGTGAGCTGAGATTGTACCACTGCACTCCAGCCTGGGTGACAGGATGAGAACCTGTGTCAAATAAAATAAGCATTATTGCTTGATATCTTCTCACATAGGAAAAAAAATTAAATATTCGACAAATTTTTGTCGAATGTTTAAGTTACCCAAAAACATTCAACAAATTTTTGTTTAATGTTAAATCTGCCTTTAGGTAACTGATTTTGTTGA